GCTAAGTAAAATCTTAAAAATAAAATCTTTAAATTTATTAACTCCTTGTTTTGTTGATAAATGTATAATTTTATCAAAAGTAGTGTCTTTCTCTACTCTATTTATTTAATAAAAACTTTTACTATAAATATAGTGTATAATGATAGTTTTGTATGCAGTATTTCTATACAATTTCTAATGAAAATGGTATAGACACCCTTTTTATATGGAACTTTAAAGCTGTAATGAATTAAACCTGCCACAATTTTACATACATATCAACTCCTCTGCATATTCATCAAAAATTTCGAATAAATAAGTACAAATAAACACGTTGACTATGCTCTTGTTGAATGTCAATGAAAGCGAAATCGCCTTTATGTAACCCGGTGCCCTTTTTACCTAATACCAGCGTGAGTCGAAGTTAGATAACGGGAATACGAAAGGCAACGTCCCGGCGAGCCGCAGCGGATTCATTTCTTTTTTTTCTTTTTTTTTTAATTAATTATTATACAATCACGACATGATATTGACTGAACGAGTCGGAAGAGTAGTAAAGAAACTTAAAAACTTCGTGAAGCGACCGAATATTTTTTTCAACAGGTGAACCATTCCGTAATTAGAAACTTAAAATTAATAGGCGTACAGTGAGATGAGCGGTAGTGTTATGTCATGTATAATGCTACACCTTGTCCCACAATCTTCAAAATAAATTTTCTTTCAAAACTAATGCAAGTTATAAAAAAATTCTTTTGCTGAAACAGAAAATTTAAACGTTGCCTATAAGAGTGTAAGATAAAGTTTAAATGATCATTATAAGGGTGAAAAAAAGTCACTTCTATGCTCGCGAACGATTAATTTAGAAATTCGAAAAAGATTGTTAAAGGTCTATGTTTGGAGCGCGGCGCTGTACGGGTGCGAAACATGGACGGTGGGCGCGGCGGAAAGGAAAGAAGAAGCGTTCGAAATGTGGTGTTACAGACGAACGATAAGGATATCGTGGGTAGAGAAGCTTAGAAATGAAGAGGTATTAGAAAGAATAGGAGAACAGAGGATTCCTCTATGGAAGTCAATAAAACTATAATGGTTTCAAAACCATTAATTTAGTTTTAATTCGTTCAACGTTTTTGCTAGGATATTTTCAAAAACTTTCTTCCTGGGTACATTTTTCGGATTATAAATTATGGAAATAAAGTGGGGTAATTGTTAGTATTTTACTTGCATATTTTTGCGAAAGATCGTGGGTATTTAAGAATTACAAATAAGGAAGTATCGAAAAAGAGGGAACTGTGGAAGCTAATAAGGAAAAGGAAAGATACGATGGTGAAGCACTTTCTGAAACGTGAAGGACTAGTTAAAGACGTAGAAAATCAGAAACAGGAGTAAATAGGGGCGAAGAAAAACATAGATTAAACTACTGTTAATGATATCGGATGTTCTAGTTTTCGAGAAAGGTATATTTAGTTTCAATGAAGATAATGTACTATTTGGGACACCCTGTAAATATATATATATATAAATGGATTTTAATACAGTAATGAGATTCTGTGAGGGCATCAACCAGTAACAGATTATTACTTTCGGCCTGTTGACCTTATTTTTTGAAATAAGAATAAATTAAATAATGAAGATCTCTTTTTTCTAAAACGTTTACTGTATAAAAAATGTGTGATTTCATGGGTCAATATCACGACCCTTTCTTCTCAAAACTTATTATACTAAGGCCAGTTCTGCACCTTTGTCCATTATGGTGGCTGTTAAATCTTTATTTTAAGGACATAACATTATTTTATGTTACTTTTAACTTTTCTTTAAAAAGAACCGTAAAATTTAAGACAACCGCATCAGTGTTTATAATTTTAAAACGACAATAAAACTAGTCGAAAGTTTTCTTAACACTTCCGACACGACTTAACTTATTTTGCCACGGGCATTTAAGAACAAAAAGGGTAAACGTTTAACACCGAAGAAATTCAGTTTAGAAGAATAGAGCGCAATACTTCTTTAGTACAATGCAAATTGCAATTTTTTATAGCAAGTTAATTTTAACGAGTCACTTTTACCAAGAGTTTATGCATATGTATGTATACGTAAACTTCCTAGGAATTATATAGCTTGATGAAGGGGAGATGAAAGACAAATTTACCATAATTAAATGGATTATTATAATTCAAACGAAATTCGAAGGATTCGAGGAAGGCTAGGTGGTGTTACTGTGCTTTAAAAACGTACAAAAAGAGTCGCCTCGTAAACCCACTGAAAATAAAATTACGGTTTCAAATATTTAAAAAAATGTAGACAAGAAAGTAGTAAATTCATTGTTAGCTATTACCATTTAAATATTATGTAATGTCTTAGAATATATGCAAAGTTACTTAAGAGGGAACCCCCTTCTCTTTGAACACTTAGACCTTACATGCTACCAGTTTTATTAGAGCATCGAAAAAGACCACGATCAGGCTTATTGAAAGTTCATTAACAATACATTTCAAATGCAAATCGTATCGAGTTAGCATACCTCTTTTATGAGTTTATACAGTGAAACTTTTCTGTTCATAAAACAATATTTATCTATTCAAAAAGAACAGAAATATATTTAAAGATTCGGAAAATGTAGTGTAGTGATTTGTGGTGTCCAAAAGGCTTTTAGAATGAACCTCGTAAATCTATTGGAATTGCAGGTATAATAACGATTATTGCAAAATATTATTCTATTTCTATACCACAAATAAACCACTAGTTTTAGATCTCATTATTAATTTTGTAATCAAGTATTGCAAGAGTATATACTATATTAATACTATTAAATCCTAGTTGAAACTTTCCTGTTTTATTTGTATAGTATGTAGTTAAATTTCTAATGAAAATGGTATAGACACCCTTTTTATATGGAACTTTAAAGCTGTAATGAATTAAACCTGCCACAATTTTACATACATATCAACTCCTCTGCATATTCATCAAAAATTTCGAATAAATAAGTACAAATAAACACGTTGACTATGCTCTTGTTGAATGTCAATGAAAGCGAAATCGCCTTTATGTAACCCGGTGCCCTTTTTACCTAATACCAGCGTGAGTCGAAGTTAGATAACGGGAATACGAAAGGCAACGTCCCGGCGAGCCGCAGCGGATTCATTTCTTTTTTTTCTTTTTTTTTTAATTAATTATTATACAATCACGACATGATATTGACTGAACGAGTCGGAAGAGTAGTAAAGAAACTTAAAAACTTCGTGAAGCGACCGAATATTTTTTTCAACAGGTGAACCATTCCGTAATTAGAAACTTAAAATTAATAGGCGTACAGTGAGATGAGCGGTAGTGTTATGTCATGTATAATGCTACACCTTGTCCCACAATCTTCAAAATAAATTTTCTTTCAAAACTAATGCAAGTTATAAAAAAATTCTTTTGCTGAAACAGAAAATTTAAACGTTGCCTATAAGAGTGTAAGATAAAGTTTAAATGATCATTATAAGGGTGAAAAAAAGTCACTTCTATGCTCGCGAACGATNCTCTTTTTCAAACTGGACCCTTTCAAGCATCTCAAAGTCTAATAAAGGTTGAATTCTTTTTTTAATTTTCAATAAGTAGCTTTTACTACATTTAAAACAAAATGTTCATACAATTTCGCAAAGTAACAAGGGAAAAAAGCAACGTGTATGCAAAAGGCGTGGACTGTTTTATAAACATACCTTTCTACATACATTAATAAGGTCTTTTTTATTTAACATGCTTGACCGATTAAACTAGGAGTTTTAATTGCCTGCGATTTCTGAAATATTTCTGCAACAACAGTATTAAAGGAACTTTCCAATTTCTTATTGGCGTAAAAGTATTGAACCTATTTTGACTGTGTTGTAAGCAATGAAATGTAACCGGATGCTTCTAGGGATGTATGGATGGGGAGGTTTTAGAATCATCCAGTTGCTTGATTAATATTAACTTATTAACGTTAGTCCTTTAATAAAAATAAATAATCAGAGCAATAAACGTAGTAAGATCTAATTAATTGATTAAAAACCAACATGGGTTTTAAAATTTTAAAAGATATACTAAACCTTACTATCCTTATTGCTGTGATTATTTATTTTTATTAATACACCTGGGGGGTAGATATAGATACTGCATTAGTCTTTTAATTTAAAATTTAACGTATCTTTTTATTGCAATAATTTATCAAATATTTAACACTGATAAGCAAATTTCATTTTTTTTACCCATTTTAAATATATGCACATCTATACTACTATGTTACGACATACAAACTGTTTTTAAATATCTCTATCATATTTTTAGGTTTTGTATACATTTTGCTCTTATTTGCAATTAGCGAGTATGGTAACTGCAGCAATTTTACCACCCCCATGGGCAAATCCAAATATAAACCCTTGTGCTTCTAAGCCTAGGGGTTGGCAACTATTATTCTGGCCACCGGATGGCCAATGCTATAAAATATTCCAGGTAATATGTGCGTTTTTTAATTTATCATTTACCAAAAAAGTTCGGAAACAAGTATACATTATCAAAATAAATATTAGGTACTAACTCGTTTGGAATATACGAATGAATAACAGTTTTCCCCCTTTCAAAAATAAGTAAAAAGATCTTAAGGATAAACAAATTTAATAACAACAGTTCTCTTTGCTTTGTTTCATACACAACTCTAATAACATCTTTTATTCGATAATACAGTTTAATGAGTTCTAAATACCGGTAGTAATATCCAAAATTATTTTTATTAAATCAATCCATAAAAATCTACGACTATCGCTCCCTTTCTTAGATCACAAAGAAACGATATAAAACAACATATCTTCTTCACTTTTTTATGTTATTGTGGTCAGTCATGTAAAGTTAAAAAGGATATTTAGTAGGAATTCCTACTTTGTTTGACCTACCGCCTTAACAAAATACGTTTTTAGTAGTTTTTATTTATCTCCTATATACAATTAATAAAATAAGAATCAAACTTTCTTCTTTTATCACCAAACTAACATAGTTTTACAAGATCCGTATTTCTATTTTAGAAAAAAACTTCCTTATTTCTATTTTCCGATAGTTATGTAAATAAATTTATTTACACTAAGAAATGGCAATTGGTATGTTTATTTTCTTTACAGTTTTCCTTTTACGAAACTATACATTTTAATTTTATTCATATATTCCAGTAAAGGAGCAAATATTGTTACATGCATTTACTGAATAATAATCTAATAAGTAGTAACTCGTTTATTATTTATTTAATAAAGTACCTATCAGACTTAGAAGTTTCTTTCGACATTTACGTTAGTGTATTTTTAGATGGGTTACCCATGCCCAGAAACAATGGAACTTAGTCCAGTTACATTCGGACAAAATTACACCGCTGACAACTCGTTTATTTTTTATTTAATAAAGTACCTATCAGACTTAGAAGTTTCTTTCGACATTTACGTTAGTGTATTTTTAGATGGGTTACCCATGCCCAGAAACAATGGAACTTAGTCCAGTTACATTCGGACAAAATTACACCGCTGAGTGTAGATGTCCGCCCAAAACTGCCTTGCATGAAGATGAGAATCGATGCTACCAAATTTTTACTAAAGGGCCATGTCCAAAGGGTTATTTTTTCGGACCGAATGAAGAACGCTCTAATAAAACCACGTATGTAAATAGGACAGTTTAATACAATTAAAAAATAAATAAACCTTCCCTCGTTATTAGAAAACTACACCTGGGTGCTTGCCAAAAAATAAAGAAATGTCCTAGTACAAACGAAATATATTATCCTAAGACAAATCGTTGTTACAACACCTTAACAAGAGGACCATGCCCTAAAGGACTTCTGATAACCGTTTCAGATGAAGAAATTGCTAAATGTGAGTGCTCCAATAATGGCCACACCAAGCAAAATTATTACACGCAAACTAAAAGCTGTTTTGAACATTTTACCAAAGGACCATGCAAGGAAAGGGGGGCCATATTTCTGCCAGAAAAAGAATGTGGGTGTAATGACCTTCTACCCCACTTTGATAAAAATACAGAAATGTGTTACGAAATAGGTAAATACAACTTATATCATATGTAAACAGATTTAAAAAAAGAAAAATCTACTTTTTCAATAGGAACTGCAGGACCTTGTCAACCTGGAGAACACTTCCTAGTTGAACCTAATGAATACAACGCACGATGTCAGTGCAAAGCTGGTTATGTACGATACGAACTTGATTCGAAGTGCTACCGACCCTACACCCAAGGACCTTGTCCGGCACATCACATACTCCTCAATTCAACCACTTGTATAGTTCAACCTTGCAATCGTGGTCATTTATATTTCCCTGATGAAGGAAAATGCTTCAGAATAGGCATGAGAGGCCCTTGTGCCCCTGGAAAACTTGTAACCTTCGATTTTGACACAAAGCCTTCACTAGAGGGCGTGTCTTACCGAGGAAAGTGCCATTGCAACGCGCGCACTTCTTGTGAAAAAAGTGAAATTCAAAAGTGTGCTGGTAACAAAAACAATGTGTACTATGAGGGACGGTGTTACGAATTATATAAAAAGGGGCCATGTCCCGAAGGTGCGTGGATGGCGATTAAAAGACAAAAACGGGACCAAATTTGGGACGAAGGGAGTTACTTAGAGGGAATTTGTGAGTGTATACCCGGTTTTAAGACGATCTCTGGGAAGAATAATGAGTTAATCGAATGTGTCTCTCCGACTGAAATTTTAGCTATTTATCTAAACGATCAGTATTCATTAGCAACCGATTTAAACTATAATAAAAACACGTGAAATCGACGGTATGTTTAGTGAATAAAAACAATTATCTATTTATTTAAATCTAAATCCTGTAATGACTTTTACTTTAGTTCAAATAAAATGAATTTAGAAAATTAGATATTTTGCAGTATTCACCTTTAAACTCCAAAAGCCACAAACTTTCATTATGTTAGGGTTCCTTTTAAAAACCCTTTTTAATTCATTGTAAGGTAAAAGTATCTGTGACATTTCATTTACAAAATAGTTTTCATTTTACTGCTATAAAATTAATTTGATGTAATTGCCAAACATTTTAGTAATTTTAAACTCAATGATTATTTCGCACATTAAATCTGTGTTTTATTAATATTATAATGAATTTGTATTAAAGACAAAGTTTGTATAAACGTCTTAAATAAAATCTGTTTGACTTTTTCTACAGAAACAAGGGTCACAGTAACAAAAAACAGTTTCAAGAAAAAAAAAATAATAAAATGACTTACCTCAATTTCTTCTGTAGTTCAGCATACCTTCCTTCTAAGCACATCAGCTTTTCAGTTTTAGCACATAATTCTTCCTCTAGCATAGAACACCTTTCGGTTTTAGCGTCTAATTTCATCTGAAACAAAAATGAGCATATTTAATCCAAAAAGTGACAAATATTTACACTCCCAAGTTAACTTTAAAACCAATAAACAATATTTAGAGTAACAATGTTCACTCTTTTTGAAAATTCATTATTAGTCTAATTTATAGTCAAATTATAATAACATTCTATTGTTAGTTACTTGAATATTGTACATTCCATATACATACCAATAATTCGTCCTTTTCCCTGTCTACCATCTCCATGCTCCCTCTTGTCGAATTTACTTCACCCCTTAAGGACGTTAGCTCTTCAGTTAGTCTTCGGTTATTATTCTCCAGAGATTTGCTCTTTTCACTTGCTTCAGAAAGTTGGGACTGTAGTTCCGCTATTGTATCCTGGGCTTCGACTGCAGCTCGATCAGCTTCATCGTGAAGCGCTCTTAAAATAACAATAACAAAGAAATAAAAATTATGATAAAAGCTAATTCTAATGATTTACATGTAACTGTGTATATAACACACAATACACTAGAAAATGGAAGAAAGAGAGCATAGTTTTTCACTTTATTTTTTCTTAATAGTTTATTTGAAAGTTAATAACTTACTTTACTTGATTGTATAAACATTTATTTTGGTTTGCTTCGGCTCGGGCGTTTTGAAGTTCTTCGGTAAGCTGCTGCACCTGTTGCTCAAGAGAGTTAATGGTGTGTCTTTTTGTTCCTTCATCGGTTAGTAAATCTCTTTGCTCATCTTCTAACTTCTGTATCGTTTCCCTTGCCATCTGAAGCTCACACTGTAGATTATATTCCATTTCGTTATACTTTTCATTAGCTTCCTATAAATGAATTTAAAACATATAAATACATGCATTATTAAATTTTCATTCAAGTTGTTTTTGTAAAATGGTCGTACCCTCAAGCAACGTTCCAAAGAAATTTTTTCCTCGTCTAACTTTCTTAACTCGCATTCAAGCATTTCTTTTTCCCTCTCCACTTTTCTTAACGTAGACTAGAAGGTGATAAAAACAGTATTACTTAAAAGTGTCCATTTTTACACAGTTACTATTAATTTACCTTAGTGGAGAAAGCCTCGAACTCAGACTCTGATCGTTGTTTTACCGATTGAATTTTTTGCTTGCAACGCTCGTTCTCCTCTTTTAGCATTGCTATCTGAGCTTCCTTTTGTTCCAATTGTTGCTTCAACTTCTCCTGTTCTTCACTTTTACATTGAAGTTGTTCTTGAAGATACTTTTCCGCAGAAGGACGCTTATCTTGACGCTGATCACGTGAACGACGAGGCTCTTCAGATTGTTGAGGTCGTTGTTCTTGAGACTGCAGAGATCGCTGCTCTTGAGAATGCTGAGATCGCTGTTCTTGAGAAATTTGAGATCGTTGTTCTTGAGAACGACGACAACGCTGCTCCTGAACTTGTTGGCATTGTTGCTACACATGAAACAAAAATTACGTTTAAAAAATGATTTATACGTAGAAATGTTATAAAACAGGCAAATTCTCGCTGAACTATTTACACGAACCATTTGAAACACTTTTATCAACCTGAATATACGAGATTACCCACTTTAAAAAAAAGGATGTACCATATTTTAAAGTTTGGCACTGACAGTATTACCAATTCTCTTGTTGGTAAATTTTTTTGGTATAAAACTTTATTTTTTTACATTTAAGCTTATGTGGGATAAACCGTTATTAAATGTTATAAGTTCCATTGTGTTTTTAATAGATCAGTTAAAATAATAAGAACAGATTAAATTCAATAGTTGACTTGCAACTAAAGACTTTTTTTTATTTTTACTTTTTATCATTTATACTAATGCTAATTACCGTTGATTCAGCTGCTGGATGAGAATATTTGGTACTGCCACTCCCTAGACCTTCTGCTTCAGAGAGTTTCCGCTTTTGGGAAGCCGACAGTTGAGATAAACGATCTATTTCCATATTTAGGTCTTGTTCTGAAACATCTTCATTTTTATATGGGAGGTAGCAAAAGTGTAATTTGTTTGATCCTCTAAAGCTATTTTGTTTCATTTTTAGTTAATTTTTTTATTTTTATAATTTAGTACCAATTAGTTTATATTTGCATAAAAGAAATTAGAAAATTTTGCTAAACCTAAAAAGATAAATATTACGTCATTTTTGACGCTTATTAACCTAGTTAATGTGATCTGTATAATTATCTAGTTAATCTCTTTAACACTAATTACTATATTCTCACATTTTTAGAATTCATACCAAAGATAAAATGGAACTTTTATCGTCAATTTATGCGTCACAATTTGTACCTTACAATGTAAGAAACAGTACCGAAAAAAATAACTAAATCCTCCTTTTATTAATTTTGTGTTTTTATATTAATTTAAAAAGTTTAAAACACTAACCAATTTTTCCATATTCTTTCATTTTGTCAGACAAACGATGTTGTTCCTCTAGAGCATTTTCCAAAGCATTCTGCAATTGTACCTTCTCATTCTTAAGACATTCCATTTCAGCCCGAAGCTGATCTTTCTCGCATTTCAACTCGGCCAGTTCTCTTTCAAAATGTTGATTCTGCATCGTTATTTCATGCATTTTTGCCTGCAGTCTAAAATAGAGGAAAATCACTTGTACATATTACTGAGAAATTATAGTTACATAATTTATACCTATTTATTTTTTCAACGCTGTTTCTAACTGTAGAATTACATTCTGCCTCAACTGATAATGCCATTTGATCAATATCTCCAAGTTCCTTTTCAAGCTGTTTGTTTTTATCTACCAAACAAAGGGCCCTTTTCATTGCTTCATGTTGTTTTATAACTGATTCTGTAATTTTTAATTACATTTAAATACTTATAATTTATTAAATGAAAATTGTAAGCTAAATTAAAGTCTAAAAACTTGATGACAATGATTTTAAATTATAAATAAGCAGTAACTATTATTTAGATTATTTACCTCTTAAATGCTCTTCCAAATCCATTTTTTCTTTTTTCAATTGGCAAAGCTCATCTTGTAGTTTTTCTAATTTTTCTTCAGCATCTTTATAACAGCAGTCTTTAACAAGAGCATCAGCTGGGCGACCCCCTTCTAACATGCACTGAAGCCTTTCAATTTCTTTTTCTCTACACCTTACCTATTACATAACAACATACATTAATTAATAATATTCAGTGCTTAAAAAATATAAAATAAAATGTTATTTGATATACAACATATGTATAAAACGAATTTATCTATTACCTATATTTAATAAACCTGTAATAGACTATCAATCTTTGTGAATAAGATTTTTTATTTTTTATTAGTATCTAATTGTGACATGTCTTATTGGGGTCAAGTAACTGCAGACTTGATTTTTTTTCTTAAAATCAATTATTTTAAACTATGATTGATGTACCTGTTGTTTGTAACATTTGATCATTTCAGTATACTCCAATCTCTCTTCTTTTAAGAAGTTAATTTCTTCTAATAAGTTATGTATTCTTTGATCACACATGTCTAAAGTTTTATTGAATTGTATTTTGCATCGGGGCTTCCTAACTTCTAAATCTGAAGTTGTTTTACTTCTTAGTGCTGGTTTAACACCAGAGGCAGCTGCAATCAGAGATATATGAAATTATAAATGAAAAAACCCACTTCTTTTGTACCTGTTCTTGAATATCTTTTATGCAATTGACTTTCTAGATCGGAACAGTAATGTTTAAGCTTCTCACAAGAATTTTCAAGTTTAGTCTTTTCTTTCTCTAACTTAGAAATTTCTTTTTTAAAAACTAAAACCAAAATAACAAATAATAAAAATAACAAGCTAATACTGGATATATATTATACACCTCTTATATTTTTATCATTGTCTTCTTTGCAGTGGAGTAAAGCTAGGTGTAAATCATTGCATTCTCTAACCAATTTTGCATTATCACACTTGTAAGGTTCAGCTCCTAATTGTAATAAGTCTCGTTCCTGGAAAAAAAATAAACAACTCTCTTTTACTGCTTCACGTTACTGTTTCTTTTATAAATGTTTATTTGAATTTGTTCTGACACTTCAATTAATTTTTGGTTAACATATCAAAAAACTATGCCTACTATAAGATTTATATGTTAAAAGTAATCATTTATCTCTTACCTCTATTGCTCTTTTTGCTATAGTCATGTATTTTTGTAAACTTTCGGTTGTTTGAATCAAATCATGCAGCAATTTCTCCACTAAAGGAACAGCTTCAGGGACTAATGGTTGATTATATCCTAAATCGTTTAAACGCCTGCGAAGTTTTTTATATTTTGTATCCATAGTATACTTTTTATCACAGAAAAATTAAAATTTAAGTACAAATTACTAAAGTAACTTTTTCATTTTTCATCACTGTATTTTTCACAATGAATTGTATGAGCTGAGCTATGTATTATAATTAAACTTAACTTTCCACATAATTATGTTTCGTAACTTATAATATATTAAAACTAGAAAGAAAAGGTTTTCTTATTAAATAAAATCTAGGAAAATAAATAAGCTTTTGAGGTTAATTCAGAGTAATTTATAATAAAAAACAATACAAACAAAATTTTAAATCTTAGCTCCTAACATATATGCACTCCATTTAACATGGGTGTATACTGCAAACCTATTTTTAATAAAGAAAATGTTAATTTAAAAACTGGCTATAGGTACTTTAATATATTAAATAATTTTATTAATGTTTTTTATATTTTTTATTATGACAATATCACAAAACAGAATACAGTCTATTAAATTATAT